GAGGAGGGGCTGTTGGCAGGGCTTCGTCACCCCACGGGGAGGACAGGAAGTCCTGGGTCAGCGGGGCAGGTGCTGCCCAGGCAAGAACTCTAGAGTGTAATTTGTTTATGCGTTTAGTATTTTTCGTTTTGTTTTTTTAGAGGTGGGCCCAAGCTAGAGTGCAGTGGCATCATCACAGCTCGCTGCAGCCTTGAACTCCTGGGCTCAAGCAATCCTCCTGCCTCAGCCTCCCGAGGAACTGAGCCTACAGGTGTGCACCACCACGCCTGGCTAGTTTTTTTTCATTTTTTTTCTGTAGATGGGGTCTTGCTATGTTGCCCACGCTGGTCTCCAACTCCTGGGCTCAAGCAGTCCTTCTGCCTCAGCCTCCCACAGTGCTGGGATCACTGCACCTGGCTGTGTTTAGTTTTGAAAAACATATTTAATGTACTGGGTCTCGCTCATGCAGGCTTTTTTTCTAAGCAAACACAGGGCTCAGCTTTGTGACACCAACAACACGGGCATCTCTCAGGAAGCTGCGTCCTCCATACTCGGCACGGTGAGCTGTCACCTTTCAGTGTCTAAAAGCAACAAGGACAAGCCCAAACAAACATGAAACTACCACTCTCGTTCAGTGGCCACTGGATGTTTATTACGACACGGCTCCAACTGGGCACACAATCGTGTGACAGTTAACGTGTCACAGAAGGTCTCCATTTTGAGCACTTTGGCTCATTTTAAATAGCAGAATTTTTAAAAACGTACACAAGGCTGGCTTTCTGATGTTTAAAATCATTGCAGAAACCAGCGTGCTGAGCTGAAGGCTGCAATAGAAATAGAAAAGTCCAGAATCGTTTTCATGTCTCTTGTTCACGGTGCTGGTTGTGGGGGCCGAGGACCTGGCTGCTGCCGTCTCTGCGGGGCGGGACAGCGGTGAGGCCCTGCGGGGTCGGACCGTCTGATCTAGAACAGCTGGATCATCGACTCTCTGGACTTGCCGACGCCGACCCACTTCACTGCAAGGCGGAGCAAGGTGTTCACGGAGGGAAAGTTCTTTACCCTCACGCCTGTCTGTGTGGTTCATCTAGTAAAAGGGGCTGTTTTCTTCCAATGGACATAGTCCTAATTTTTCAGTTATAAAGGTCGTGCACGTTCGGGGATTAATCCACGTGCGGCAGAGAGCAGGAGCCCCTCTCCCTCCCTCCGTCCTGCCCCTCGGGAACGGCCACCTGGTCTGCAGGTGGTGTGTCTCCCCGCGGCCCTGCTGCAGGTGCCGTGAGGGCAGGCCCACGTCTCAGAGGCGGGTGTGTCCCCTCTGTCGTTCCAGATGCCGAGAGGTGGCTGTTCCTGGCAGGGCCACACCCGCCCCTAGCTTGGGGCCCTCCTCACCTCGCTCTGATACGTTCTCCCGGCGACCCCTCGGCTGGTTTCTTACTGTGCACCAAGCCCTGCTCTGGGATGTGGCCTCTTGGGGTGCCCGGGGCCCAGGGTGCAGGGAGGGCTGGCCGGGGATGCAGGGCACCCACCTGCGACTCCCACGTGGTTCTCCACGAAGCGGACATAGCTCTGGGCCTGTGGGGGCAGGTCCTCCCACCTCCTGGCACCCGTGGTGTCTGCTTTCCAGCCAGGCAGCGTCTCGTACTCCACCTCGACCTTCTGAAGTATCTCCTGGTTAGCTGGGAAACACGGACGAGCGGGTTCCACAGACGTTTGGTGACAGGGCGGCCCCCACCCCAGGGCCCGCTTGCCCAGGGACGTGCAGCAAGGAAGGCGTCCAGGCTGGGCAAGGCACTGTTTGGTTTTCCGTGTTGGGTGGTGAGTGGGAGCCGGCACGGGGCTCGGACTGGCTATACCCTTCCAGACCAGGGGACACGCCCACCCTGGACACGGACTGGCTCACTGCTGAAACCTCCACGGTGACCTAAGCTGAGGAACTCTAAGGCCCTGCCTGGAAATTCCAAGAGATTCTAGAATCCTGAAGCGTTAAGGGAAGCCTAAGGTCTATGTCCCCTCACCCCAAGAGCACCAGCTCCCTGGGTGCAGGGACTCCGTGTGGGGTCTGCGGCTCAGGGTAGGAGCCAGTCACCCTTACTGACAGAAGATGCTGGAACAGGTTTCCCGCTGCAATGGTTTTCGAGCCATGGAGCCAGGCAGGGTCTGCCTGGGGCTCTGGACACCACAAGGAGACTCGGCAGCCTTAGGGGTGTGCCCTCGCAGGGGGCAGGGGTCACAGGGTCAGGGACACTGCCTAGAGGACGCACGAGGCTCCTGAGGCCAGGTGGCACTTTGGGACCCACATGGGTCTGCTCAGAGGAGTAAGCAGGGGGCAGTTTGCCCAGGGCCACTGGGGACGTGGGGCCAGAACGTGATCCGGGCCTGAGGTCCAGGGGCACGTCCAGATGCGCAGGTCACCGTGACATCCAAGCAAACAGCATCTCCTTCTTGCTTTCCAAAACAAGGGATGCACGGCAGGAGAGACCCCAGTTACGTCTTTAAAAATCTAACCGAAAAGCGTGTTTCCTTAGATGAAATCGTCGTCCTTCACGTTTGCACGTGCATTAGGGTTTCCAGAGCAATCGAGTCCCCGTCCTGACTCGAGCACACCCCACGCCCGCCGGAGGTGGGCCTTTCACCCGAGGCAGGTCAAGGGGGCTGAGTCAGCGCCCAACAGCCACCCCAGGCCTGTCCCCGGGCCCTTCCCAAACCACTGGACGGCACCTGCAGCCGCCGTGGGGCCTGTCGCGGGAGAACCCGTGAGAGCCGGAAGCCGCGCTGGAGGCGCGTCTAGGGGACAGGCGGCCTGCCCTTCGCCTGCTGAACGTGCGAAACCTCTGCCCCGTCTCCGAGAAATCTCAGGTCCTGCCCGTTCCGATGCCCATGACACGGACCAACGGACAGAAAAGCCGCCACCTCGATTCACGTACCCGGGAAGTAGGGGATCCTTTTCCCGCTCAGCTTGTACGAGACGCCCACTTTAATCTCGCTCAGGACGTCCAGGATGTCCAGCTTCGTCAGGGCCAGCCTGTCCAAGACAGAGACAGACAGACAGCCTGGAGAAGCGTCCGCACCGCTGCGATCCCTTCCTTTTGCTTTTCACCCCCGTTTCTCCTCTGTTCTTTACAGTGAGTAGAAGATGAAGATCAGGTGATCCCAGAAAAATGCAACGGGCCGACAGGTGTGAGGGCAGGCGCTGCCGCCTCAGGGTGGGCACCGCTGCGGGTGGGGTGGCCTCTAGGGCCCCACCCAAGCTCGCCTCATGGCCACCATGCTGTGGTGGTCACCCTTGCAGGTGAGGGCCTCAGGTGGGCTTCGCAGGTGGCCTTTCCTGCTTAGGGTTTTGCATCCTTCTTTTGAGCCCCGAGTTACCTCCACGTGGCTCTAGGGGGAGACTGAGGCTGGCATGTGGGGCTGTGGGCTCTGCCTGTGTGGCGGGAAGCACCCGGAGCTCCTGCCAGTTGGGCCCCACCAACAAGCATCGTGTTGTCATCAGCTGCCTTGGTCTGTGGCTCCTCGGGGCCCCGTCTGTGTGCCACCTCATAGGATGAAGCTTCTAGGAAGGCCAGGTGCCCCCTGGGGCCCCTGGGGCCCAAGGGTGAATGTGTGCCTGCTGTCCCTGCCTGCCAGCTTGTTGCCGCCGAGTCACGCAGTCCCTCCGGCAGGATGTCCCTGGTGGCCCCAGCTCCAGAGGCGCCTGCTGGGGAATGGATGGAGCAGCACCTGCCACGCGCTCCGGGGCCCCCTCCCAGGCTCCCGCACCTCTGGAGACCTCAGGGCTTGGGCACGGCCCTCGCTCGACACCCAGTCACACCCCACGTTGGGCCTGTGTCCGGGGTGAGCAGAGCAGCCAGCAGCGTGGGAACCTCGAGGAAGCCACAGGCTGCACCAAGCAGCCGCAGGGCCCCGGCCCGGCCCCCGGGCGGGGGCCAAGCCCGGGGGGGGGGGGGCCCCAAGCCCGCCCGGCCGGCCGGGCAACCGAACACCCGCGGAAGGGCTGCTTACGCGGTGAACCCGTTGACCATGTGGGCGTATCTCAGGATCATCAGGTCTAACCAGCCGCAGCGCCTCTTCCTGCCCGTGGTCACTCCCCACTCGTGGCCGCGGCTCTGCAGCAGGTCTCCGATTTCCTGGTGACAGCAGAGCAGATGGTCTGCGCAGGCCGCGATGGGATCCCTGCGCCCCCGGCCTGGCCCCCTCAGCACCCCCCCGGCTCAGGGGAGTCCTCGAAGCTGCCACCCCCTGATGGAGTCGCCCCCAAAGTCTGGTTTCCATGTCCCTGGCAGGCGCGTGCGGCAGCCCAGGCTCGCACCCAGCAGGGCCTTGCCGCCGGGGTGGCTCCGAGCCGGTGAGCTCGTCTCTGGAACACACCAGCCCCTGCGCTTGGTGGGGCGCAGGCGGGCCTGGCCCTGCAGCCGGCTCCGGGGACAGGGTGTGTGTGTCTGTCAATACCCAGCCCCTCTCTCAGCACCTGCTCCTCCTCCCTGCTCAGCACAAGGGCTGTACACTCCCTGCCTAGGGTCACAGGTGAGGCTGAGAAAGGAAGGCTGTGCCTCCTGGGGATCCCCGGCAGCTTCCAGAAACACCCCTGAGGCCAAAGAGCCAAGGAGGGTGGTGGGCTCTGCTTTCAGCCCGGCTCTGGCTCGGCAGGGACGGACCCCCCAACCCCTGCCGGGACAGGGCTGAGGGCAGGTGCTCGCTGGCCTCTCTGAGCCAACGTGGTCCACCAGGCGAGTCTGAGGGGGCTGCAAGGCACCCCCTCCCCTGTGGGCCTCTCACTTGCCCAGGGAAACGAGGTCCTGCAGGCACGCGTGTGCGCGTGTACACACATGGCGCAGGCCACGTGGTGCCGATGCGGCGGGAATACGCCAACATCCAACGCCCCTCATCAACCGCCACCCCCAGCCCTGTTGGGCGGGGCAAGTGGCAAGAGCGGCCCCTCAGCCCCCACTGCTGCGTTGCAGCTCGCCCAGCCCCCGGGCACCCTGCCTGGGCTCCTCGTCCCGTGTGTTCCCCGGGGTGGGGGCTGGGGACTCACGTTGATCTGCTCGGTGGGGAAGGCCCCGATGCCCACGCGTGTGGTGTAGGCCTTCACCACGCCGTACACGTCGCCTATGTTCTGGGGGGGTATGCCCAGGCCCGTGCACACGCCGCCCACCGTGCAGTTGGACGAGGTCACGAAGGGGTAGGTCCCTGCAAGACAGACCGGGTTGGGGGCTGCCCACCACCCCTGCCGACGCCCCAGCCCCAGGCGGCAGGCGGTTTGACTCCCCGTGTGTCCCCTCGGTGGGTCTGACGGCCCGCCTGGCTTGCTGGGTGCCGGGCTGCGTGGCTCACATACGGGTCTGGGGTGAGGAGAGGGAGGAGGCTGCTCCTGGTGTGGACAGCGGTGGCCAGGCCACCATGGTGATGGGGGCTCAGCTGGTGTGCCCGGGGCTCAGGGACGGGGACAAACAGACTGCCGAGGGGCCGCTCTGACCAGCCCGGCCAGCTGCCTGCCTCCACCCCGGCCTGTTTCCCGTTAGCTCACCCACCCTTCTCTCCTCCCCTCCCCTGCCGAAGCTGGGGACAGGGACGCTGGGACCACTTCCGTGGGCATGGGTGGCACTGCGGCCTTGGCTCTGCCCCCCGGCCCCCCCGCCCCGGGTGCTCCCGCGGCTCTCGGCAGCGGCCTGGTCTTCCCTGGCAGACACAGACCGTCGGGACGAGCACCCGCCGGGCCTTACCGAAGTCGATGTCGAGAAGGGCTGCGTTGGCGCCTTCCACCAGGATTTTCTTGGCGGGGCCGTGGAGCGCCTCGTACATGAAGTAAACGCCGTCGCGGACCATGGGTCGGATCCGCTCGGCAAAGGCCTGCGGGGAGCGAACAGCAGAATGGGCTGCAGCCCTGGGCGGAGGAGGCCCTGGGTCCCCAAGAGGGCTGGCCAGACCATAATAATGCCTGGCAACAGGTGTGCTCTGTGCTGTTCGACAGGCACCCGGGGCTTACCTGCCCGCGCCGCCGGGCCTCACCTTGAGCCGTTTGAGCTGACCGTCGACGTCTATCTCCAGGGCAGGGAACATGGACTGGTGCTGGCGGGCCAGGCTCTTGAACCTGCACGGGCGACAGTGGCCACGGCTGCCGCAGGTCTGGGCGCCTGGTGCCCGCCCGCGAGCCAGGCTCTCCACAGGCCCCCTCCCCGCCCCCCGGGCTGCAGGGCCCAGGTACCTGGTGGAAAACTCGTCGAAGTCCGACAGGAGGTCGCAGATGCGCAGGCCCGTCCGGGCAGCTTTGGACGAGTAGGTGGGTCCGATCCCCTTCTTGGTGGTGCCAATGCTGAAAGGCAGGGGCGGGTGCTGTGGGGACCTGGCAGACCTTGCCGGACCCCTGGGGCCACCTTAGGGAAAAGGGCCGAGCGGGGTGACACCCCAGGTGCCATCGCGTCAGCCACACCCAGGAGCCTGAGCGCCGGGAGAGCCGCCTGGACACCCAGTGACGGGAGGCTGGGGCCCCGGGCCTGACCCACCGTGACCCTGTCTTCACGCTGCCCTGTCTGCATTCTGCCTCAGCTTCCCTCTCCGGGCCCAGCACTGCGGACGCTGCGCTCGGGGCCCGTGGCTGCTGCCTCGCCGGCCTGGACCCCGCTGCCTGCCAGGCTGAGCCACCCGGAGCTCGGCACGGCACCGTCTGGCCGGGCTCTGTGTGCGCACACACGCGAGCGTGCACGTGCGTCTGGTGTGTGAGCGCGTGTGCAGTGTGCAGGCGTGCGACTGTTGGCTCTCCCTGGCAGGACATGCTTCTGCGTCACTCCTGTGTCCCTGGCACATCGAGGCTCCAGTGACCCCCCTTGTGTGGACAGACAGTGGCCATCGGGTGGGGGCAGGATCGGGCGCTGTGGCGGAGCCGGCGGGACGGGCCAGAGCTGCGTGGCCTCAGCGCGTCTCGAGTCCTCCCTGGGCCCGGGAGTCGTCAGGGCCGCCCAGGATCCCGCAGCCGTGCGGATGTGGCAAGTGACGTCAGGGCACGCCCACCGCCAGGGGCTGTGTGGTGGTGGCCGCAGCGAGTGAAGACACAGCCCCCAGAGAGAGGCGGGCAAGCTCAGGGCTTCAGCCATGAGCCAGGGTGTCTCGGGGTGCTGTTCCTGGGGGCTTTCGTCCGTCGACGTCCCCTCCCCGTCCTGCCCAGGACCAGACCGGTCCCGGAGTGGGCCGACTTGCAGGACCAGAGCGCCCGAGGCCGAGGGGAAGGTGGCAACGTACTTACTTCTTCCCCTCCTGTGCTTGGCGCTGCACCTCCTGGAGTCCGTCGACGGCCTGGTGAAAATCGAACACTGTTGGGCCAGGCGGGGCCGCCGGGGGACAAGAGAGAAGCAGAGGACAGAGGTTTACTCGGGGCCCTCACCTGCCGCGCCCAAGTCTCCCGGGAAGGGGGTGGCTGAGGTTTGAAAGAGGACAGACCGCGCCGAGACGCCCCGAGTCCTGCTCTGCTCTGCGCAGACTCAGGTGCGCCCGCGCCTCTCCCGGGGCCTCAGTTTCCCTGTCTGCAGACGGGGCTAGTGATCCCTGACCCAGCCCCCGCCTTGCAGCTCTTTGGGAGGGGCGAGAGGGTGTGCCCTGAGCCCTCAGCCCCGCCGAGGGTGCCTTACCGAGGTGGGCTCTGTCGGAGATGATGAGCCTCTTCTCCCAGTCCTTCAGCCCTGCAGGGACACGGCACAGGTGGGTCGGCATCACAGGTGTGCCGCAGCCCACGGGTGAGGTGGGCAGGTGGGAAGGAGCCACGTGGTCCCCTCTGTTGTGCAGGGGGCCACCAGCCCACCCCTCGGTGCCTTTTCTCCTGCTAAGGCTCCCGGGCCCTCGGGCCACGGGACCCCCGCAGACGCCTGTGGGCTTGTCCTGCTCCGGGCTGGGGCGCTGGGGCTGGTCTGAGTGCCCGGCCTTCTCCCTGCCTGCAGCCGCTCTGGAGGGAGCCTGTTCCCCTCAGGGCCTCAGTCTGGGGGCCTCCTGGTGCCCGTGTTCCCAGAACCGGGTTCCATGAACTCCTCTCACCCTGACCCGGAGCCCTGAGGCTGGAGCTCTGCTCCCTCCCAGGCCCCTGCCTCGGGACAACCCGCGGCAGTCTGACCGGCCCATCCCCGGCTGCGGGTCTCCACGGGCCTGTGTGCCCGGCAACACGCCCCCTGGGCCCCAGGAGCCACGTCCCTCCCTGCTGGCGTGGTTGACCCAGTGGGCCCCGTCCCAGCTGCACACCAGGGCCGTGCCTCCCTCCGGGACTTCCCGAGTCTGAGTCTGCCATGCTGCTGGCCGGGTGCGCAGGCAGCAGCCACGGCGGGTCTGGGGCGTCCTGGGCAGGACCCCGCCTTCGGCTCGGGCAGAGCCAGCGGGCGGGAGCTGGGCCAGCCTCACCAGGCCCCCGGGCTGCCCGCCCCCCCGCGGGAGAGACCCTCACCGAGGTGCCAGCCGAGGACACCACGGCCAGGACAGGGCTGGTGCTGCAGGGACACGGACCCACCTTTCTTCTCGTTCTTCTCTGCTTCTTCGAACAGGCCCGGCAGGTGAATGACCACCCCGTTGCCTGCAACACAGGGCGCGGGAGAGCGGCCGCAGTCAGCGTGCGC